AGGTTAAAGTAAAACTTTTAGAAATATATAGTTTTATTACGATCTCAAATTAATAGAGATCATATACTCATCAACTTAAAAAAAAACTTAAACTAAACTCAGACACAACAGTCTAGGAACCCTTGCCTTTGCCATCACCACACTGTTGGGGAATGTGTTCAATAGTACACACTAGTAGACAGCTCCTACTTGCATGCTTCTGGGTCAGATGTGGAAGGAAAGGGAAGACAGAATTCCGACAGGAAAAGGGAAAGACCTTCTATTATATGACGTGGTGGATGTTTTTTTAGTGTGTTGATCAGGTCTGTATCAAATCATTGTAATAAATTATTGTATATATCAAAGTCATAGAATATACAGAATATACGTGCCTTCCCATAAGCTCTGACTTCTCTTGGTATAACTGCTTTGCAATGGTGGTGAGTGAGTGGTGTTTAAAGGGTATTGTGTGCTCTCAAGTACATTTACATTAGTACATGAACTTGTGCAATTAACTTCTCTGTGCATCAGTTGCTTTATCTGTATAGTAAGGATGATAGCAGTGCCTACCATAGGACTTCTGTGGAGACTGGCTGAGTTGGTTGTGCAAAACACATTACACTATCACAATAATGATTCTAAACCTTAGCAACTATTTCTATTACGCACTTGCCTGTCATCAAGATATGAAGATTTTTCCAACTTGTGTGTTTTGTGCATTCTCGTGCAAGTTGAGGCTTATATGTATACTGTATTCACTATCAAAGCAGTCTCTTAGGTCACCATCTTCAGTTGTCCCTAAAGACCCCTCATCTACTGAAATGAGACCTGGACCAAGAGGGCAAACAGCTGGGAGAATACTCATAACCCTTAAATTCCCCGTAGTTAGAGCCCTTTGTTGTCACTGGCCAAAGACAAATCATTAAAATTCCATAGTGAGCAAAAGGTATCACAGGTACATATAGACAAAGTAACCACTAACCCACAGCCACTGATCAGCATCCATTTCTGGAAAGAAGCAGTCTGTGAACAGAGGAACAAAATGTACTATGCTTGAGTAAAGACGATTAGCATGGCTTAATGTAATCTGATAAAAAACAGTTTGGAAAACAGCAAGCCTTGCCACAACAAAGAATATTTTCTGCATCCCGGAGAGATGGCGAGATAAGGTGTGACCTACTTTGCTCATAATGGGGCCACCCCATGGATAATACTTTGATTCGTTGACAAGGAGATGATCCGAAACTGCTACACTTTCTGCCTAAGCAATACAACAAATAACGTTGGCCCCAGTGGTGAATCTGCGGGACTAGAGAAATAGTGAGTACGGCAGTAATATCTACTTTAAATGTGTTCCTACAAAAGCTGTGGACATTCTGAGTATCATCACCAGAGTGTGATAACCTCTTGATAATTAGCCCAGCATTTGTGAAAGTCCATTTGGACAATGACAAAATATAAATTAAGATCTCTGTTGAGAGGCTGGGGATATGGTTCAGTAAATAAAGTGTTTGCCACAAAACATAACTACCCGGATTCAGATCCCCAACATGTATAAAACTGCAGAAATCCAAGCATGGCAGCACACAGCTGTAATTGCAACGTGAAGAAGGGACAAGCAGAGACAGGTGGGTCCCAGGGACTCACTGGACAGCCAGTCTAGACAATGAGTTCCAAGTTAGAGTAGGACGAGAGAGAGAGAGAGAGACAGAGAGACAGAGAGACAGAGAGACAGAGAGACAGAGACCCCACATATGTCAGCTCATTCAGGAGCACCTACACCATGGACACACACATAAATACACCACATGCTCAAGGAAAAGAGAGATGTCTGTTGATCAATGAACATAATGATTGACAGCGTATTCCAGAGTGTGATTCTTTTCAGAATAAAATTGCTTTATTGCCTTGTAACAACCACCAAATTTAATTTAAATGAACAATCCATTCTTTTTAATCCAAAATGTTTCTTAAATCTTTTTGGGGCATGTTTGAGGCCTCTTTAGTTTGTGGGTTGCTTACTTATTTTAAAGTCAAATAGAGACTAGTTGTTACGGAAGATGATGTTTATGCATATAAACTTTGAGGCAAGGTGCCTGGGCTGTAAAATCTAAGATTACTTGAGATCTGTATCTCCAGATCATGTTGCTACACATCAGAATACCCCTCTCCTTTGCGATTACATCTCTAAAGCCTTGCTTTGGCAGTTCCTTTCATCAGCGACATCAGAATGCAGTTTTATTTCAGTTTCATTTCTCCTGCGATACCTCCCACTCCACACGTGCCAGTGCCGTGGAAAACTGTGGCACCACGGGAAATTAGACCTACAAGAATCTTAGAGGCTCCTTTTTGTTAAAGCGGTTCCTCTGTCCTGAACAGTTGGGACTTATTTCCGTCAGAGACACTGCCTGTCTATATTCCTTGCTCCTGCTTCAAAAATCTGATTCATCCACCGCACGAAATTAAATCACTGATAACTGCTCACTGTACATCATCCGTATTCTACAGAACCTGCCAACACCAGTTTTCACAAAGTGTTCCCAAGGGGAAGTGTGAAGAGCTAAGGTGTGAGGTAAAGCTGGCCCTTCAGAGATGTTCCCACCGCACACATCACCTCACTAGCCCTGTGTGCAGAGGTCGGTTAATCTGACGGCACTTCTTTTTTAGTGTTTAACTTTATTATTATTTTTTTTATTTTAAAAAGTGATCAAGGTGCAGAGTGGGAGGCAGGACAAACATTGCGCATGTACGCACGGCTACTTGCCCTCAGTCCCCCAGATGTTAAAGAGCTGATCTTGCTTAAAATCAGGATCATACTGCAAAGTTTAATTCTAGAACAAATAATTTTTCTTTTTCTTGTTTGCCTTGTGGTATTATAATTTATCATATAGAGGTAATCGGAGCCAAGGAGTGCCCAAAGCATTAAGCTAATTCCTTTCCTCGACATTAGCTCCAGTTAATTCACACACGTATCAAGGGACCCCATGTCAGTGACTGGGCTAAATTTGATTTCCTAAGCTTCATTTGTAAATATCGAATCTTATGTTTTCCAGGTTCATAGACTAGAATATGTGTATTTACCAAAGGATAAGTTCCTCACCAAATCTGGCAGACTGTTTATTACATGATATGTTGTGATCTCTCCAGTGTTAATGCTTTGATTCCTACACGCTAACACTAAATTCTTTCATTTATTTTCATTCATGGATCATCACTGGGCTTGGAAATAGCTCAGGGATACAGGACATGCTTAGCGTATTCAAAGCCCAGGATCCCATCCTCAACCCTGCCACACACTCAGTAAAAGAATCAGTCTATTTCCTTTTTATTACATTTTATTTATTTCAGGGAAACTGCCAGGGCACACAAGTCCAGGGGACAGCCTTTAGGAGTTGGTTCTCTCCCTCTACCCTATGGGTCCCAGGAATTGAACCCAGGTCCTCAGGTTTGGCTGTAAGAGCCTTTACCCAGAGAGCCATCTCACTGGTACAGAACCTCCTATTTCAAAAAAATGTATTCTTCCTATTGTTTGTGGTAGCTTCTCAATCCTTCATTATGTCTTTCAGAGGATTTCTATAAATAATTCCTCTAAGGCAGAGTTTGACTTACAGAACAATTATGTGAGCTTGCCAATGTTTCAAAATAAAACTCCGGGCTGGAGAGGTGGGTTGGTGGCTAAGGGTATTTACTGCTCTCGCAGAGAGCCAGAGCTTAGTTCCCAGAACCCAATGGTGAGGCACACATCTGTCTGGAACTAAAATTCCAGGGGATCCGGTGCCTTCTCTGCTCTCCTTGGCTCTGAGATCCTGCACACATGTACACACACACATGTACCTACACACATGCATGCACACACTCACATATGCACATGCACACACACATGCACACATACATGCATGCACACACACATGCACACATGCATGCATACAACTCACATGTGCACACACAGGCACACACTAACTCACTTGTACACATACACTCACTCATATGTACACACATACATGCATGCACACACATACTAAACGAGTAACTTAACCTTGCACTGACTGTTTTTCTGTCTGTTGCCTTATTATATACGCTGGTGAATCCAGTCAAAACTCCAACCTCCACTACTGCCAGTCTTTCAATAATATCCATCAGAAATTTTATTTCTCATCTTTAATATCATAATAGTGTATTTTAGAATAATCCGTGCTTAAATAAAACTTTGGGTGTATAGCCATAAAGGACATTTTTCCAGGTTTCTCAATTAACTTTCAGATCTGAATGATACCAGCATGATCCTCCCAAAATTTTAAGACCAGTTTCTGTTTAAATCTTTAACACAGGCCTGCAGTCTGCACAGTGGGTCAGCAGGTGTCACCCCACTGTAGAGAAGATAGCAGCTTAGCAGGGTAGGGACAGACACAGGGCTTTTGCAGAGCGCATGCTGGGTCAGGGTGGGAAATGGGGAGTGGTTGGCTGTGTGGTGAGCATGTAGTGTGGACTTGTGGGTTTTATATCTAACTCTAAAAGCTGGATTGTTCGTTTTCCTGCTGGTGCATAACAAACTGCCCTCAAGCCAACTGCTCGCAATCTGCGTGGCGATACTGCTCTCGGTTCTCAGGGTCTCCTGGGGCTCAGTTGCATGGTTTGGCTGGTTTTATTTGAGGTCTTTCATGGAGCTTCAGTCTATGGCGGGGGGAGCTGGATTGAGCACAACTACTTCATGCGGAAGCCTGAGCTCAGCTGGGACACTGGGACAGCCAGCCCTCTCCTTCACTCTCTCCATCACTCTGCCACTCAGGGGGTTAAAAGCACAAAAAGCAGAAACTTCAAGATGACCTTATGCCTTAATTCCTGGGTCACATTAGCTACTTGCTCTTGGATGAACTGAATCACAGCATCCACTCAGGTTGAGTCTGAAGAAAAAAGCAGAATCCGAGGCATTGGGGCCATCTTTAAAGGTCAGCCACTTACTATAAGGATTAAGTTTTTCTTCCTTCCATTAAAACGTCACTTCCTCTCCACTCCTTTTCTAGCTCCTTGTGTCTCTGGCGGTTTGCCTAAACCTACAAATATCACCTTCTTGTCTATCAACATGAAGAATGTCCTGCATTGGAATCCACCCGAGGGTCAACACGGAGCTGAAGTCACATACACTGTGCAGTATTTCATGTAAGTTGCTTCTTTTCCTTATATGTAGTTTATAAACATGAGATTCAGACCCTGTTAATCGTGCAAAGGTAAACTTTCTACGGCATTAAGTTCTTTGAGAAAGAAAAGTTTGGACATTTCCTGTTTCTTTGATGTTATAATAAATTATAAAATGGTTATTTTGTGGAGCCAGAAGCACCTAATATTCAGGCCAGAACATTAGGAGATATCTTACAAAAATTGAGGAAGGAGACCAGTAAGATGGTTTGACAGGTTAACGTACTTACCACCAAGCCTCAGGACCTGAATTCTGTTCTTAGGACCTACATGTTGGAAGGAGAGAACTGCCTCCAGCCAGGTGTCCTCTTTCACCCACACATGCACTGTGGTATATGCATGCACATGTGTGCACACATTGGTGCACATGCATATCCACACAGACGAGGTAACAATGGATGAAATGAGTGGAGAAAGGAAGTTGGTTAAAGAGGTAATTTGTATATGCAAATGAAGTAGGCCACCAACTCTGAGACCTCTAAGATTATGGGAATTATGGTTCTTAACTCAAACAAAGAATTCTATGTGAATCTTACTAAACATAGCAGCAAATGGACACTTTTCACTTGCCCTCCAGGACCCTTTACCAAGCACAGAATAAGCCAAAATACTCAAGACAGTGTTCATATCCAGAGACTAAAGGAAATGGGCACAGCCCAGACCCCCAACCGTGAAGCAAGCAAACCAAATACTGTAGAACCCAGAGTGAAACAACCACAGATGCCAAAAGTGAAATAGCCCCCCCTTTTTTTTGTTCTTTTGAGACAGAGTTTCTCTGTAGCTTTGGAGCCTGTCCTGGAACTAGTTCTTCTAGACCAGGCTGGCCTCGAACTCACAGAGATCCGCCTGCCTCTGCCTCCCAACTGCTGGGATTAAAGGCCTGTGCCACTGCCATCTGGCCAACACTTCTTTTTTTAAGAACTGCTTTTTATTTATTTTGAGATTTCATTTTCTTTATGTGTATGAGCTTTTGCATGTGTATGTGTCTGTGTGAGTATATGCCAAACATGTGTGGGTGCCTGTGGAGACCAGAAGAGGATCCAGACCTCTTGGAACTTGAGTTTCCCAGCCCCTGGCGTGGGTGCAGTAAAGCTCTTAACCCACTGAGCAGTCTCTCCAGCCCTACACCGCTACCACTCGAGCTCTACGAGTAAAAATAATTCCTCAAAAATAAGGGCTACAGTGCTCAAAAGGCTGGTCCAACACTCCGAGAAGGGGTAAGTTCGTGTCTTTACAGCTAGCAACCGGTGAGACAGCCCTAAGGAGCCACAGTTTGGTGCCGCAGACTCTCATAGGAAGGGGAGCTGAAGTGACACACTCATCATGGGGGGCCCAGTCACAGTGCAGCGACAACCCTAGAGTAGAGAGAGGCGGGAAGAAAGGAGATGCAGAGGATGTTTGACAGCCCACGCTGACCATGACCTTACCGGAGTGCCATGAGCCACACCAGCCCCAGGAGGCCAGGAACTGCAGGCAGGCAGAAGCCCCAGAAGAGGGAATAATAGATTTGATTTAAAAAAAAAGTATTTGACAGAAGTAGCAGTTTAAAATTCTGCCCTGAAAAGGCTCATTATCTGACTCCCACGCCTACACCTCAGACTTTTAAATACTATTTTAGGCTTTCCACAGTTCTCGGGGTCTCATGGGCTGGGAGGGTTGGCTCTTTTGTTGGCTTCATTTGGGATCTTTCATACAGCTTTCTGACTATGGCAGATGAGGCTTGCCTGATTAGCCAACAGGTAGCCAGCCACATTCAAAGTACTAGTGAGAAATTAGGATAATGCCGACCTAGAATTTATGAGCATGAAGGGGAAAGTGAACTTGAATAAAAAGTTCCTCCAAGACCTTTCCCATGGGAGGAAGAGAAGAATTCAGAGTAATGGTCTGGGCTGTTTTATTAAAGTACATGAACAGCCCAGCCTTTTCTGTTTGCTCGTCCTTGTTTTTGAGATGGGGCCCCCTAATTCTTCTCTCTAGCTCCCAAGACCCAGGATTACAGGCATGTACTGAGAAACAAGGCTGTTGATAGAATTTTTCTAGACTGATTTGTGACAGGAAGCGTGACTGTAGAACATCCTCTTTTCTTGGCATCCATGAGGAACTGGTTCTGGACCCTCCACAGATGTACCAGGCCTTCCTATAAGACGACATGGCATCTGCCTACAATCTGCACATACCCTCCCGTAGTCTTTAAGCCACCCGGGGTTGTTATAATACAGGCTACCAGTGTAAATGCTATCAGAGTACCGCCATACGGCAAATGTTCAGTAAAGATGCAAGCCTTTCTCCAATGTTCTTACTCCTCGGTTGGTAAATCTACAGAGCTGGCACCCATGGGTACCAAGGACTGACTGCACATCATCGTTTTCATTAGTTAACTTTTCAGTGCTTTGCAAAACCATTTTCTTTACTTCAAAGGTCATGAGGAACTAGTGTTTCTCACAGTCACAGAGCACTGGAACTTCAGCGATTCTTTTCATTTTACCTCATTTCTTTTGATTAAGATTCAATTCAAGTAAAAGTTGTTGTTTTATCAGAAACGCGATTCAGGGATGACCTGATTTCTGTCCACATAGCTGTCTCATCATCCTCCCTTCTATAAGTAGGATAAAACGCCCAGCATCCCTTACACCAAATGTTTCTGGTTAATGAGTTAGAGTGATTTGCTTCTCCCTTGGTTATACTCCCTGAATTGTATGATGGTTTGAACTTTAAAATACATGCATGCGCCACATTTGCCAGTGACAATGACCATTTTTGTCCTTGAAAAATGAGTTCTGACCACGGAAACATCAGGGAATACTCCTTGGCCGTTGTCTTGAACCCTATTCTCACTTCCAAGGATGCTATCTGGAACTGGTGTTTAAAGGAAGACCTCAGCTTCGCAGAAAGCAAAGCTCACCAGCTTACCCTCATTCCACCTTCCCTCAGGAGGGGGTGGGGGGTGAAGAGCTTGCTCTGTCCTGTAGACTTCCCAGTGCTTCGGAAAGTACTTTAAATAATAGTCAGGGTTATCATTGCCGTATGAGAACAAATAAGTTAAATTATGCAACTTTTTAAAAGGAGCACTTAAAAAGACACCTGCCCCATGGGTGTTCCAACACACTTGGGTATGTTATGTACCAGTGGACAGGAACATGGGTGTAGTGCTGGAGACAGACAGTCCTGGGTTTGTAGCCAAGTTGTGAGCCTGCCCAAGCAACCTTGAGTGTGGTACACACTTTTATAGTGTTTAGTGAGGTTTGCTTCCAGAGCAAAATGTTTAAAGTTTCAGTTATACTCACAAAATAATTTAGTGTAGAAAACAGCAGAGCACCCAAAACACCAGCTTTGGCGCTGAGGAAAGTGATTCCGATTCCAGATAAACCTTTTGCTACTTTGGATTCCTTCATCTTAACAGACTTTCAATTCCCTGCTCTGTAATAATGGGACAAGAACAATGAAGCACACTTCCTGGGCATGCTACAGTGGGGTGAAAAGTGTAAGCCTGGAGTACCAGCCTCGACTCATCACAGGCATTCATAGATGTTGGCGCTTACTAGAAATAGATGGAGACCAGCGAGGCCCCCACAAGATTGTCCGTGGGAGATTATTGTTACTGGACTATTTGTCAGGTCTCCCAAGCAGATATCAATGACAGGCATTTTCTTCTCGGTCAGCATCTACACGATAAGAAGGTGCCCTGCCTTTGGTGGAGTGAGGCAGTTTACAAAAGGGAACACAAAGGAAGTAATGACAGCATTTTCCCGACTTCAAGTCAAGACCTGTTGACAGGATAAGAAGGCAACGTGAGCCCATATTCCTAATCCTAACATCTGAAAGGTTGAAGCAGGAGAATCAGGAGTTCAAGGCCATTGTCAGCTTCTTTGTGAGTTCAAGACTAACCTGGATCACCTGAGACTCCCATCTAAAAAGATCAAAAACAAAATAAAATGAAATTGAAGAGTAAATCAGTTTTGAGTAACATAAATAGTATCTTTTATGGAAGGAATTGGAATGGTATGGAGTGGTAAACAACCAAATGCACAGCTAGCAAAGAAGTTTGGGTATAATCTGGTAAAACCTGTTTCTGTGTCTTAGTATGCTTTGTGAACAGAATCAAAATGTAACCATCTATGTAAATACAGATCCATTTTCCCTTTCATCATTAATCAGAACGTCCCCAGGCACTGTTGATAACCTTCAAGGAGAAGATGATTAAGATCTGACTGAACTTCTAACACTTTTCTGCAGATGTGGCATTTATGGAATAAAAGAGATTTGCTTCAGAACATTTTTGATGTTGCCACATTTTTGACGACGTTGGCAATACTCAGGAAGGTTGCCAAACCCTCCTTATCAAGACAAACTCTTCCCATGACTTCTGTGATGAAAACTTCTCCCCTCGCCACTTTTGCTGCTATTCCCAAGTCTGTTTTGTGGCCCCCTTAATTAATGTTCCTGAAGTTTTCTTGTTTTGTTTTGTTGTACAGCTTTAATTACTTTTGTCCTTCTTAAACCTCTCTACTTTTGCCCATAAAGTAATCACAAAAATCAACACTGCCATAAAACATTGTTTTCACTTTATGAGATCTTATTTCCTTAACCTTTTTTATTGATTTTATTGAGCTCTATATTTTTCTCTGCTCCCTTCCCTGCCTCTCCCCTCCCCTTCAACCTTCTTCCATGGTCCCCATGCTCCCAATTTACTCAGGAGATCTTGTCTTTTTCTACTTCCCATGTACATTAGATCCATGTATGTCTCTCTTAGGGTCCTCATTGTTGTCTAGGTTCTCTGGGATTGTGATTTGTAGGCTGGTTTTCTTTGCTTTATGTTTAAAAATCACTTATGAGTGAGTACACATGATAATCATCTTTCTGGGTCTGGGTTACCTCACTCAAAATGATGTTTTCTAGCTCTATCCATTTGCCTGCAAATTTCAAGATGTCATTATTTTTTTTTCTGCTGTGTAGTACTCCATTGTGTAAATGTATATATCCAAAGGCTGCTCAGTCGTGTTCCTGAGGTTTGAATGTAGACTTTGCTCTGGGTATTTCTGCCTAAGCCATCCACAAACAATCTGAGCACTGACTCCAAAATCACTACCTCCCACTCATACCTGTCTCTAACCCTGAGCGCCTGCATTTGGAGAACTCTTAACATACCTCAAACTCAGCCTGGCACTGCTGAATTTATTAGAATTTCCTCCTCCTATCCCTTCCCTCCCCGATTTCCCAAACTCACTCTTCTTTGGTGATCTTTATCTGGTAAATCATATTCTCTGCTCTTGCCCTAACCGGGAAGAGGTATTTCATCATCTTTAGTGTGTTATCGCTTGCATGCACTCAGTCACCTGGTCTTGGCTCCTACTAGTTTTTGTTGTGTCCTCATTCATCTCACTTCCATCCTTGTCCATTCCCACTCCCTGGACCACAGCAATGTCCTCCAGACTGCCCTCTAGAGGCTACCACCACACACTACATTCTCTGGAGATGACTAGTTGGCCTTCTAAACCATGCCTTTTGTCTTGTTCCCCAACGCCCTACTTTAATCCCTTCAGTAGACTCCAGTGCGACCCTATCTCTCTGACTGACATACCACTCGACTGAACATTTTATGCCACGGTCTCTCTAACCTGAGAAATGCTGAAAATATTCCCCTCCCCATTTTCTTTGGATGTTGTATTATAACAGCAACAACCACAAGAAATTATAAACAACCTACTCAATTCAATAGCAATATGGTTATGGTACACTCTCACATGCTGCATCCTAGTAAAATTCCCCCCAGGTTCTTAATACTTAGCAAAGTTTAAATTTTATAGGAATGTCAAAGTAATATCTCTTCCAATAAAAAAAACTAACTCTCCTTTAATGCATCCATCAAACTAACTCTAATATATATATTAGAGTACAAATTTAATTACTAGAGACTAACCACACAGTATTTAAAAATGTTACTGTCGCTGAAGTATGAAACTATAACATGCTTTCAGACTGCACTATCCACATTATAATTCACAGAAAAGCAAAGTGTTTATAGAAACTTTGACTCATGCTCCTGACAGCTAATAAAAATATCGACAACAGCCAAAGGGGATTCCAGTCGACAGAAGGCATCTGTGTTTTGCTGAAGAGAAGGTTTCCCCATCCGCTTTTCTATAATGATGTTTTTAAACTGTAAAACCTGCAAGGGGCCTCATTACTAATTCATGCTTTCTTTCTTGGCAGATACGGGCAGAAGGAATGGCTGAGTGTATCTGAATGCAGCAGCATCAGCAGGACCTACTGCGATCTTTCTGCTGAGACCTCAGACTACGAGCACCAGTACTATGCCAAGGTGCAGGCCATTCGGGAAACCAAGTGTTCGGAATGGGCTGAAACAGGACGGTTCTTTCCTTTCTTAGAAAGTGAGTAACACCGTTGTCCACTGAGCATGTACTGATCTGGATTCCTATGATACTCTGGCCTCATCGGCAACTTTGTCTTACCATTGTTTTATCATAGCAGAGGCTATGCATTCAAAAATACATTGTGGGTGAGTCAGTCATGGATATGTGCTCTGATTGCACAGCAAAATCTCATTTTTACTAAACTTGGTATTGTGCTGTTTTTTCTAGGTGTAACTCAGAATTAAGGCAAGAATATTCCTGCTATTTGCTTTTATTTTTTGCTATTTTTTCTTTTTTCTTCCTTTTCCCTTTCTTTTTTCTTTTTTTGCCATTCTTTTTCCTTCCCCTTATATGTGAGTGACCCAACCATGAGGGATGCAGGCAGGGCCACTATAATGAAACATCCAAGGGCTGCAGAGGCCCAGGAGGCGGTCCCTTTTCTAGGGGTGCATTAGAGATTGGTGTCCCATGCCCTCAGGTCAGATCCGGCTCCTCTGTTTTTCAACAGGACATAAATAAAGAATGCTATTTATATTTTTAAAATAGTTTTTAAAAAACAATATTTTGGCACGTGAAAATGATATAAAGTTTAAATTTCAAGGTCAGGGTCTGGAGCAATGGCTCAGCAGTAAAGAGCACATGCTGCTCTTTGCAGAGGACTCGGGTTTAGCTGCCAGCACTCACATGGCTCACAACCATGTCTAACTCCAGTTCCACAGGATCCGACACCCTCTTCTGGCCTCCACTGGCAATGCGTGCACTGTGGTGTGCAGGCAAAACACCCATATACATAAAATACAAATAAAATTTATAACTAATCGAGAAAAGATTTTTGCAAACTTCAGTGTCTGCATGTAAAGTTTTCCAGAACTCCAACCCCGTTCACTTGTTTACACTGCTGCTAATGACGGCTTTTGAGCCACAAGCTGAGTGGAGTCCTTGCAGCAGAGATCCTGGGACTGCAGAGAGCCTCTGGGCTTTTATGGTGAAAGGGTCTCCCATAATAGGGTGGTTTTAGGCCTTTGATCCAAGAAGGGTTGTGCTGTAGCGTTATCTCGGGGTTGTTTCATGCCTGAAGATGCTAATACCCTCTTCTCCTCTAAGCACAAATTGGCCCACCAGAGGTTGGCCTGAAAATGGGCGAGAAGTCCATCTCCATTGTCCTGACGGCACCGGAGAAGTGGAAAATAAATCCCGAAGATGACCCTGTCTCTATGCAACAGATATACTCCACTCTGAAGTACAACGTGTCTGTGTATAACACTAAATCGAGAATGGTGAGCCCTGCCGGGGATGGGGTCTGTCCTCTGGGCTTCCCTTTCTATGCCCAACCATGGGCAATTCTGGTGTTTCAGTTCTCTTCCGAGAAGGTGGTAGCTGATACTATTCAGAAGAGATATTGTACAAGATAAAATGAGAGCTGAAGATAATTCTGGCCTTTCCCTGCCATGCGCACTGCTAAGGGTGTGTGACGTCACAATCGAAGTGTAGAGCACTCAGGCATTTCACCTAGGGGAAGTTTCTTTACTGACACATCATTTCTCAGCCACTTTCCAGCGATTATAGATATATGAATATATAATATGCTATATAATGTATACATACACATATTTATATATACATGAGCAAGAAGGCAGGACAAAGTTAAGCAAGAACTCTACCTTAAGGATGGGTCCACTTCTAACTATGTTCTGTTCAACTAAATGAAAATATATTTTTGAAACTATGCTGAAAAAATAAAAACTTATAATGACAGGAAGGATCTGGTGATATCTTGGCCCTTCCCTTCTTCCTCGAGCTGTCCTGGGGAGGTCCTGGAATCTTTGGCTTTGGCTCTAATCTCCATTTGCACTTCCCTGCCCCAGTGGTACATCACCAACAGCACGCTGGAGTTCACCTGGCTGGAGCCGAGCACTCAGTACTGCATCCATGTGGAGTCTTTTGTCCCAGGGCTCCCTCGCGTCCCTCTACCTTCTCAGAAACGATGCTTCAGTACTTTGGAAGGTAAGCTGTAAGAGAGTTTAGCTAGTTTCAGGAAAGAAAGCTGATAAAACAAAAAGTACAAGAGTTTAGATAGAGTCTTAACAAATATATGTCTATGAATATCAGGTTTGAAACAGTGGTAAAATTCTCTAATTGCATTGAACTGTCTGGGGCTCTGCCATTGAGCTTGGTCACTATTAAGGAGGGTTGTCTGAAAACTGTCAGCAAGGCCCAGGAGTCCATTGGCATCCGTCCTCCCTAATTCACATTTCTCCTACCTTGAGAAACAGAATTAAGAACTTTTACATGGACTGAGTGATGGTGGCCCATGTCTTTAATCCCAGCACTTGAGAGGGAGAGGCAGGAGGATCTCTGTGAGTTCAAGGCCAGCCTGATCTACAAGAGCTAGTTCCAGGACAGGCTCCAAAAGCTACAGAGAAACCCTGTCTTGATACCCCACCCCCTTCAAAAAAAAAACTTCCATATATGTCATTTTTTCTTCTATCCAGCCATAGTCCCTCTAACCAAGGCTCTGAGAACACCCAAAAACTATATAGTAAGAAGCAAAGTGTTGTCCTGTGAACACTTGCAAACACCACTGCTTTGCTCCCGCTTGGACATGACCTATCACTTTCAGCCACAGGCAGATGTAGAATCATCAGAATCACTCTCCTACAATTGCTTCTCTCTGCCTCCTTCTTGGTTTTTCCGAGCAAGGCTCCCAAGGAACTGTAGTCTTGGGTGCTTCTTTTAAGAGACCTGGAGTTATGAGCCTTGTGTTTGTTTAATAAGCCTGCCTTACAGAGAGAACTTCAACTCAAACCTGACAGAAAAAAAGATAGACCCTCAACTTCGTCTGCCTCATCAGATGGTTTTCATCCGTTATAATCCTGACCCTCCCCTCTAACAAATGCTCACAACCTCTTTCAGGTTCTGGTTCTTTCCCCATCCCTGAGAGCCCACATCCCTTAGCCAGTCACACACACAACTTTAATCCCAGCATTTAGGCGGCAGAGGCAGGTAAAACTCTAAGTTTGAGGTCAGTCTGGTCTATAGATCAAGTTCCAGGACAGCCAGAGCTACACAGATAAACCCTGTCTTGAAGAATAGAGAGAAAGAGTCCCCAGGCCAAGGCCCAGTACCGCTGTGCTCCACCTCCACCCCTGTTGCTTTCCTTTTCCCTTTCCCTTTTACCTGGGAGCCTCACTTCACCATGCCATCTCTTTGGCAAGAAAGGCTGCTCTACCCGAATATACAAATAGAACTCAAATGCCAAGCAAGCAGGAGAGGAACACAAAGCAGGCTGGAGGTATCAGTTTTGTGTCTGGAATAAGTGCTGTGTTTCCTAAGAGTTTGATCAGTGCCAATAAAAGGTCATTTACCTATCATCCAATGGAGCTCACTTACTCAATGGGCAGAGCTAAGGCAACTAAATACAGCTCACCCAACATCTTCTCTGTAAGAACGTGGAACCCATTTCCTCGCCAGTGCAGTAAAAGAAACAGATCCAGGCATAGCATATCTAGTATTGAAGTTTCTCATAATACCCCACCAAGTCAATGACTGAACACACCTTCCAAGACACTGCTTTCTTTATTTAAAAAAAATCAATTTTATCTCTTTAGGGACTATGCTTTGAAAAAAAAATCTCTGCTCCAGAAATTTCTCAACTAAACCCCCCAAGTGAAAACAAAATGTAGCAGGTTTATGGTAGCAAATGTGCTATGGCATACTAAGCGCCAGAAATTGTCATGATCATCTTAGGCAGGATAAGCCCTGTCTCACGGTGAGATCAGGGGCTGTGCTGAGGGCCGAGCTGCCATCTAAGCAGAACAGGTCCCAGCTGAAGCAGGACAAGTATCCGACAACCTCAGCGTTTGCATCACAGCCTTGGCGCATTCCTGTGTAAGCAGACGAGCACTCTCTCTGCGGACTGTGGAGTCGGTAAAGGAGACTTCAAGGGATGCCCACGATGGATTTTCCCTCTGGTGTGGTTGCTCACTCCCCATCACAATCATCATACACACATCCGTTTCCCGTCTGAGAATGGCAGTCAGTGGGATAGATGCTATGCTCTTTTCTTTCCGTCAGACAGCATCCAGCACCCACAGGGATGAAAATGTTCCTATGACACACTGGCTGATCTTATTAGTATATAAAGGATGTCTAGGGTTTCGTGGTTTGTGTTAAGTTTGCAAGGTCTGTGTGTGTGTGTGTTTGCGTGCATGCACATGTGTGTTTCTAAAGCACTTTAGAATTCTCCAGAGAAACAGAACCAACAGGATATATAGACACAAGAGAGCTATTAAGGAGTCAGCTCTTGTCATTGTGTAAGCTGGAAAGCACAGAATCTTTGGAGCAGGCATCAGTCTGAGGACCCTAGGGACCACTGGCATTGGAGTTCATTCCCAAATGCCACGTGGTAGCAGAATTCCCTCTTCTTCAGGCTCATTGGTCTCTGTCTCTTAAGAGCATCACTTGAGTAGACGAGACTTTTCTACATTGTAGAGAACAATTTTCTTTGCCCTAAATCTACTCATTAAAATGCTAAATCTCATCTACAAACATCTAAAGAAACATCTGGAATGGTGTTTAGCAAGCGTCCATGGCCTACACCCGTTGACATATAAAGTTAACCAGCACAGCTTCCAAGGAGTCCCCATGAGCTTCACAAAGGTGCCAGACACAATGGAGCCTGCCTCAGCTGTGTGGTCTGGTCAGCCGTGAGCCAAGGTGTTCCTCTTCAAACTCTTCACTCAACCTTTTCATTATTGGACAGACTTCTCGCTCATCACAGGCCCACAGGGTAGCAAGGTTGAGAGGGAGTCATCAACGTTCCACAATTACCCCTAAGCTTTAGCCTACCCAGAAGGACTAGCCCACCAGCACAAAATGAATCTGCTAGCCACCGTATGAAGATGCCATATATTCATGTCATCTACTGAATATATGCAGAGGACTTGAGACCCGCAAGTAGCATGGAAGAGGTTGAGATCTTTTGTTTTAACTAAAATATTTTAAGCTTTATTTTGAGACTTTTATGCATAAACACTGTATTTCCGTAATTTAACCCCTCCTTCTTCCCCTCCAGTACTCCTTCTGTGTCCTACCTCACTGCTTCTCAAATTCATGACCTCATCTTCTTACGTTATTCATCCCCACCCCCTGCCACTCTCTTACACAGACACATAAATACAACCTACCGAGTCAGTTTAGTGTCCTTTCTGTGTATACATGTTTAGGGCTGGCCACTTGGGAACAGATAAGCTACCAGGGTCCTAGTCCCTGAAGAAGAGTGAATGTCTTCTCTCTCTCTCTCTCTCTCTCTCTCTCTCTCTCTCTCTCTCTCTCTCTCAGCAACCATGAATTGCCTGTAGCTCTTTATCTATGTAACATGTAGCATATATCTTATAACATGTCTCCATCCACGTTGCCATGTCAACTGTCCTGTTTAAGTGGTAGACAGACACATTTTTTTTTTTTTTTTTAGATTTCATGGGTGTAGCTTTCCCGTCATGCATAGAAGACACTATTCCATAGGAGACATCCTGCATCCTGATTCTCTGGCTCTTACAGTTGTCCCACCCCCACTTCAAAATGTTCCCTGAGCCTTAAGTGTGATGGTCAGTTGGGTATATGGATCAGTTGGGTTTGAGCACTCCACAGTGACTTGCTATCTGCATTTTGTCCGGCTGTGGGCTTCTGCAATGGTCTTTGCTACGAAAACAAGCTTATTTGATGAGGGAAGGATTGGAGCTGCACTTACCTTTTGGTATAAGGATACAGGGGCATATCTAGAATGCATTTAGAAAATAATGATTTAGGAAAATGGGAGCAGTAGGTTCTCCTCTAGGGTCCATGACCTCATTAGCCATAAGTAGTTGGCTGGGTTTATAGTACCAGGCATGAATTCCCTCCAATTGAGCCAATGTTGGGTCAAGTTAGGTGGTTGTTGGTTACTCTCAGGATGGAAGAGCCACTATTGCATCCTTGAGTATATGATGTCATGCTAATTATTGTTGAGGTCTGCAGGCTTTACAGTAGGGTAGGACTATTGATTGTTTTTCTCTCTTGACAGCTTGTGTTGTACCATTAAAGATTGAGAACTGGTTCTCATGAGTGAGGCTAACATGTCAAAAACAGTTTGATCTCTTCAGTTTCTGTATCCAAAGTGTGTAGTATCTTCAGCAATAGGGTCTTACCTTCACATTCTGGGAAGCAACCAAGGGCAAGGGCAGTAGTCTACAATGTTTGAGGAGTTTCTTGGACTCCTCTGACTAACCGAAAGGGAGGTTTCCCATGTCTGGCACTAGGAATTTAATTAAAAAGGGTGTTGCTTCTTAGTTTGAAGAGCTGTGAATTCCTAGGCTGACAGACCTATGGGTTTTCACATACATGAGCCAGGATCAATGTCAGAGCATTAAAAAAGATTTTGGAATGCCCAATGACTTATATTAGTTATGCAGACTTAATATAAAGACTTGGGTGAGTTTTGTCGGTGCCTTGAGACCTTCATTGTCAGAGAGATCGCAAGTTCTGAGACCCCTTACAGCATTAGCTGAAGCTTCTTGACATCTAGATGAGAAACACAACTGTTCTGTCCTGGTCCGTGACTTTTCTTTAACAGATCGAATGTCAGCATTGAAGTCTAAAGTCATCTTCTGGTATGTCTTGCCCACGTCTGTCATCATCTTTCTTCTCTCTGTGATTGGCTACTCAGTTTACCGTTACATCCACGCTGGCAAAGAAAAGCACCCGTCGAATTTGGTGAGTGCTTGGCACGGTGCAAGACTGTTCTGACAACAGAAAGAGAGAAGAGGAGGGTCAGAATAGATACAGTTTCACATCAGAGCCAAGTGGCTTAAGCGGATGGTGAATTCTAAAACATTCTGAGCTGAGCATAGCTGAGTAAGAGAGTCCTTCCATAGCGTGTATGCCATCCTGGGTGATGATACCCCCTGCACCCCAAAACCCTACAAAAAGCAGCTTTTGTATTGAATTCACTCACAGATATACCAACACTAAACCCTCCTCAGGTTTGAAACCCTTTTATAATTAATAAGCGCTTGAGATAAGGCTGTGGAATAAATGGATCATTTAAGTCATGATCTCTCTGTCATTCTCCAAGTTCAAGACTCTTACACACAACGTGTGAAGGTTAAACAAAAGAAAACAAGCTTTTGAGGACTCCTGGGGTAGAAGGAAGCCCTGAAATCTTTAGTGTGTGTGGGGAGATCCATTTTCATATTCAAGGCCATGAAAGTAAGAGCTGGGACACTTACTACGGGCAGAGAAATTAGCAGAGCAAGGGAAGGCAGATGGCATGCTGGGAAAGCTTGTCATGTGACCAGCCTATCGTGTCCTCCCTGAGCAGCTACACTGGAGAGCCAACACCGGGCTGTGTAGCGGGAGTATTTGGTGTTGTTCTCAATGCTGAGCTTTATTTAGTCTTCGGGGAATTTTCAGTAAGGTTCTGAGCTGCAATGCTTTGATCACCATTTTGTTTTAGATCTTCTAGAAAATAAAAGCAACTTGTCCTAGTAAAGCAAATGCAGCTAAGACGCTGTCCAGGGGAGAAAAGATGACAGTCCCAAAGAGGAGAATGGGCCATAGGGATAGGGATTTGGAATGTGGACTCTAAACACACTTAGGAAGCGCATGGCCAGGACTTGAGCATACACTGCAAGAGGAAGCAAGATGAAGAAACAAATGAGATGTTATGGGACCATCTGGTGAAAAGGACCCAATGGGCTCAGCAGTTAAATGAAAGCATGTCACGGGTGACAGGAAGATTGTACCTTGTCACTAATGCTTCTCTCAATAACAGGCGCCTTCCATGTACCCCAAAGCAGAACAAAAATTATGTCTGTGTTGCTCGGGATGGAGCTAGGGCCTTGCACTTGCAGACAGTGTTTTGCCTTTTAGCTAATCTCCAAACAATTCTTTATCTTTTCTTTTGAGACAAGGTCTGACTAAATCACTTCAGATGGCTTTTCCTCTCTTAGCCTCCAGAGTAACTGGGGTTATTGGGGCCTTATTGATTTTCTTTATTCTTGTATATTCTTGACATGATTTAGACTTTTTTAAAAATCTCCCATAAACTAGCAGATGAATTGCTTTTGTTTTCTTTTTCTAGCACAATTTGAACATTATATTCCTGTGTCCACTCCTTTCTGGTGTTGTAATAGAGTGCTTTGACTAAATCAATTTCTTGAGAAAAGGAGTTTGTTTCAGCCCATAGTTCCAAATTACAGTGTAGACAAAGGCTGCCTTGTTCGTTCCCAGCTACCCAGACCCAAAGTAATCACACAAAACTTTATTAATTGCAACCCTGCTTGGCCTATTAGCTCAGCCTTCTTATTAGCTAGCTCTTACATCTTGAATTAACGCATTTCTATTAACTTATGTATCCCAGCTACCCAGACCCAAAATAATCACACAAAACTTTATTAATTGCAACCCTGGTTGGCCTATTAGCTCAGCCTTCTTATTAGCTAACTCTTACATCTTGAATTAACGCATTTCTATTAACTTATGTATCACCATGAGGCTCGTGGTTTACCAGTAAGGTTCTCTCCAGCATCTGTCTCCTTTTGCAGTTATGCGGCGTTGCTCTGATTCTGCCTTCTTTCTCCCCTAGCTCTGCTCGGAATTCCCACCTTACCTTATTCTGTGCTGTCACAGGCCCAAAACGGATTCTTTATAAACCACTGGCAATAAAACATATTTAAAGCATACAATTGGAAATCCCACATCATTACAGCCCATCATGGGGAATGGGGGGAAGGTGGTGGGAGCTTGAAGCAGAATATCACAGAGAACAATGATTTAATGGCTCCAAAGACCAGCAAAGATGCTGACCATGTTCAGGGTCCTCCCACCTCAGCTTAATTAAGGAAATCTTTCACAGGCTTGCCCACAGACCAACCTAATCCAAACATGGACAGTACCTCATTGAGTTTCTCCCCAGGTGATTCTGTACTGTCAAGGCAACAATAGAAACATCATACTCCCTTCCTGTATCCTACGTTTATGCCTGTGTACTTTTCATATTCACACTTTATCCCGGAAAGGGCTAGGGATCTGGGCAGCCCCAGCTTACTAACGACAAACAGAACACACCTCACCCGCCTTACTCATCAACAGTCTTCATCTAGCAGAGTTTCCAATCTTAAAGAATCGAGAAGATTCTAGAACTTGATTGACTCACCAGCAGCTGCCTTTTCAGTCACCCCCCCACCCCCACCCCGCGAACCTCACACCGGATATTCACCAGTGATGCAGTTCACTTTCGGTTGTGTTTTTGTGGGTGGAGTGAAGTTTTCTCTATAGGCTGAGCCTAATTCTCTCCCCTGAGTTATTCAGAGAGGGTCTCACACTATCCAGCAGATACAACTATCCGGGAAGTTGTAGCTGGCAGCTGTTTGTAACCTCTCTCTGAAGTGAAAAGGTGAAGTTCCTTCTCTTCTCTCTGCAGGTTTTGATTTACGGAAATGAAATTGAAAGGTTCTTTGAACCTACTGAAACAATTACACTCAGTTTTATCGCCCTCAATGTGTTGGATGATTCTAAACGTTCTCAAAAGGATATGAGACGCAGTGATAGTTCCAGCCTGAATGACCTTGAGCTCTGTGGGAGCCGGGAGCCCCATCTGGAGGAGATGGAGGGACCACACTTGGGATACTCTTCGTATTTGATGGACAATGTCTATGGTGTTGAGCGAGGCGACAGAAATGCTTGCCTAATCCAGCGTGAATGGCTTAGTGGCACCATGCCCACACCGGAGGCAGACACGAAGCCCGAATACAGTGTCCCAACTGATTTCTACAGGGAGGCCAAAGACCACCAGTTCTGCGGGCAGGAAGAGGCATCCAGCACAGGGAAGTTACCTGAGCTACAGGCAGCTTTAGCAAACGTAGGTCCACCTCTTGAAGACCTACGTCACCTGGGACAGGAGCATCCTGGCTCAGAAGAGGGGCCAGGGGAAGAGTCATCTACCACACTGGTGGACTGGGACCCTCACACTGGCAGGCTGTGCATCCCTACTTTACCTAGCTTTGGCCAGGAGCCTGTGGAATACCGACGTTACGAGAGAGACCGGCTCGCAGAGGGTGGCCTTTTGTCTAGATTCTATGAGAGCCAGGCACCTGACAAGCCAGAGGACGAGCATAAAAACTATTTCGTGCAATTTGTGGAGGAATGGGGGTTGAGTGTACGAATGGAAAGCTAACCCCAGACTTTCTGTTGGCTGACTTCTTAAGTGATGGGATATGTGCCTGTCAGCAAATGAATGAACCAAGTCAGGGGGTGAACCGCGGAAATGAATAGGTCAACCTGTCTGTGTTCAGTTTCCCCAGCATTAGACATGACTGTCTTCTTTCTCTTTATGCACTTAGTCAGTCCTGACGCCTCCAGATGGCTGACTTCTATGGGACCATCTTCCCAATCCACAGCAAATCCTGGAGTACAAGGAACTTTCTGGAATGCAGAGCCCTGAGCTTTAATGTAGACAGAGTAAGCATTTCCAGGTTGGATGGGGAGTGTGTACCATGGTCAAGGTTTCCTACTTTCTAGCAAGTATGCCTGTGCAGTTATTTTCTGAATTTTTACCATATGTGTTAAACTATCCGAATGTTTCATAAAATTCGCTTATTTTATAAACACCCCTTCCCTATAATCTGTTGATTGTGTGAATGTTAGGACGCCCCAGAATGCACACGTGCCACGAAGTGGATGGAGAGTGTTAACATATAAAGGGCATAGCTCACTGTGCAATCACGATAACCCGTGCTCAGAACGAGTCAGTCAGGCCAGCCTTCATGCTTCTGTCTTCCGTAAGAGGCAGTGTTTGTCAGCTTTTGAGCAGTTTTGGAGTGTGAGCTAAATGACTGTTCTTTCGTAGTCAGGATAACACCCTCTCAGTAATTTAGTGGGGCCCTGTGTTGCCTAAAAGATCTGTCACACTTTTTTAATAGAATGCCACATTTGTTTGGGGGGAGATGTATTGTTGGAAATACATTTAAGTAACTGTAAAAGGTCCCACACCTGAAGTGCTCAATCACTACAGAAGCAGTCAAGACTGGCAAGCCTCTTAGGGAGATGTATGAATGAATATTACCTCACTACATAATAGTAAAATCCGCAGTAAGTAAACACGGGGCATAGGAAAGCAAGTTAAATGACTATGTGAGGAAGAGTTTATTAAGGTTTGACATGGTTCACTATGGGAGCTGAAGTACATCATAAAACACCTTCCTGGTAATTCCAGTAACTACTCCCATCTTCTTTCCCATTTAATTAAATTCTACATCACACTACATTAAACACGACAGAATCTATAAAACGATTGATGTTTCCATGTTTTAGACCTACAGGAATATCAATGTTTTATGTTTTTGTTTAATTATGAACTCTGCCCACTGAGCATCTTTCAGGAAGACAGATATCATCCTATTTCCTTAGTCATATGTTTGGCAGAGGCAGACAGCTCTGGTAGGAGAGATGGATTCTGGGGTCATGGTCTTTTGCAATTATCCACAAATCCAAACAGTTTCTGATTTAATGGTTTAATTTAGAGCATAATCATATTAATCAGAGTGTTCTGTTCTTCTCAGTCTTTGTAGAAATGATTCTGGTGGCTCGGAAGAGCAGATTTATGCTGCAAACTGGAAATGAAGTTCAGGAATAGAAAAGACTAGGTTGTTTTGAAGAATCAAAAGGAAAATAATTGATGATAGTTTGCCTTATTAATTTCATTCACGAAATATTTATTTGTTTATGAAGTGCCTACTACATCCTTCAATGTCCTCATCTGTCAAGTACAAATAAAAACTTCCTTATCATTGTTTTAAGGGGGGAAAGAGCTAGGCTGCAGGGGACACTTAGAGCAGGGCAGTGTGTGCAGTGGCAGCTATGGCATCATCTTTATTCTCTGCCGAGTTGTGTGCTCAGCATCAGACCCAGGAGCTATCTTGACACGAGGATGATGCAAATGTCTGCCTCGTCTAACTTGGTTTTTCTCACCTGGAAGCACAGTAGTGACTTGCTTCCTTCTCTGCGCTGCCACTGAAATCATCCCGTGTTGAAACACATTTTCTGCCTTTTAAAGAGGAACCTAATTCTGGATTGTCTTGCTCTCTCTTGCCATTCTGAGTGTATCAGAAGCATTCAGCATTTCAGTATCTTGAAACATGTGAGCATACACACAGAGGAAGACAGAGATAGGAAGAATCCCTGGCTTAGGATTCATCTTAGATTTTTCAACTTGCTCATTGGATCAAAGGTCTATGCATTCTGTAGAAACTGCACCCCTTCAATTCCGAAAGTTGATTGTTCTCTTATCTGGTGATATGCCGTTGTTTCTGCTAATGCTGGAAAGTCACAGCTCCCAATCAGCCCTGTGGTCACAAAGGGGCAATAGCTCTGTGGTAGACTGAGTTGCCATGGTAGTTGGATTAGCGATGCTAAAATCTGAGTATCTCTTCAGGTCCATATGTCGAAAGGTTGGTCCCCAAGGCTGTGCTATTAAAAACTATGGGCCTCAAGTGGGTGGGGCTTAGTATAGGGATTTAGGACATTGGGGATATACCCTTAAAGGGAATTGTGAGACCTAGATCTCCCAGTCTTTGTTTCCTGGTTTGTGCTGCGAACACTGGTTTCCTTGTGCATGCTTGACTTAGTATGCGACCCTCAAAGAGGCCACATCCAAGAGGCTGTTCATTTGCTAGCTCAAACCAATGGAATTGTAAGCCAAAGATCAGCATTTCTTTACTTTTTGAGTAGCCCGTGCCCAGTCTATTATTGTGACTACGTGAAACTAGTACAGCATATTAAATTCATTTCTCAAGTTATATTTTCAGCCTATGATGAATTAATTAGTGAAATCATCTCACTAATTCAAACAAGACTCTGGCATATTTCTTGTAAGGGAGAGGGTCACTACGTCCCAGATGTGGGAGGCAACTGTCATGTATCCTTTCTTCTGTGGTCAGACCCCAGCACCTCCTCTGCATCTTCATGGGTATCTATCCCAGTGGAGGAAGTATGGCTGTGAAGCATCAGGGTTCTTGACCAATGCTGTTCAGCTATTGAGCTTACCACTGGTGATCACTCAAGTCCAGGGGGTTACATACGGCTTCCACATTAGATTTCTCTTACTCATAAAGGCATTTGTCACTGAATCTGTACCCATTGCCCATAATTCCTAAACAACTGGTAGACACATCACAATGTCACCGCTGGAGCTGGAGAGACGGCTCAATGGTCAGAGTACTGTATGTTCTCGTTCAATTCCCAGGACCCCCATGACTGCTCACAACCATTTGTAGCTCCAGTTTCAGGGTGTCAGATGCCCTCTTCCATCTACAAGCCCCGGGCATGCATATGGTACACAGACAGACAGGCAGGCACATCACCCAGACACTTAAGAAATAAAATAAATATTATTAACAAAAGACAGGCAATCCCACCACTGAGAAGTGAGTGACACCAAATGTGCTATCTTGTCCATGGGCTGAGAGTGTGCAAAGGGAACTTGTCTCCCTGGAACAGGAGGAAGAGCTGATGCTCTGGGCTGTGCTTACCTCAGGGAAATCAGTATAGCAAGGCAAAGCTCTTTGTACAGCCCAGAGCGCAAGGCTACCCAGTGTGATAAACATAACGAGAGCATTAAACAGGGAGCTGATCATCTTGGCTGGGGGCATTGGGTCATAAATCATGTTCTCTCTGGCCCACACATTAAAACCCCCGCATCTTCCAGATGAATCCAAGCTAAATTATCTAGAGATTGTTTTCTCTTTTTCCCTCTTTGGTTCCTCACTTTACATCAGCCACAATCTACAGTTGTTTTTCAAAGATTTTTTTTAAAGTGCCTATAATTTATATTAATAGTATGGCTGTGGGTATTTTAATAGTTTTTATTTTTATTGTAGAAAATTCATTAAGATACATACAGATAGATAGACAGACAGACACACACACACACAGAGAGATAGATAGATCATAGACCAACTAGAAATGGAAATAGTTTTAGTTACTTGTAATTAAATCCCGCACAGATTTAACCACTGTAAGTGTATTAGGGCAGAGAAACTGTTCTCAGTTGGGGACCATTGGCAATGTCTGGAGACTTTGATTTTGGTTTTGATTTTTGAGTCTCGCGATGCAGCCCAAGTTTACCTGGGACTAGGTTTAGAACCTAAGAAGCTGTTAGGACATGTGGGCTCAAGCGGTTCTCCTACCACACGCTCCCTGAGTGACTGGCTCTAGAGGCATGCACCATCACACCTGCCCTGGAGAGGGCGGCATCTCTGCTGCTGGAGACAGAAGCTGGGAATACTACAAATGTCCTATTCTGCACAACGAAGCCCCTATAACAAAGAATGACCCAGCCTAAATTAGTCCTTCTGAAGACCTTCCCAGAGTCTTGCATGCATACACTCCCAAATGGAGATCATGTTGAATTATTCTGTTAACTTGGATCTTTCACACACACCCCCAAAAATCTAAAGAATTATTTTATTTTAACTAATAACTACACTTTGATGTATTGGTCTTATTTATGGCAGAATCAACAGCAGAGTGGGAATTATTTTTCTGAGCTTTAGTTATTTAACAGCAAAAATAGTGACCAAAAGTTGGAGATATTAAGAGTCCTTCAAGCCGTGCGTGATGACTATGCCTGTAATTCCAGCATCTGGAAGATGGAGATGGGAGAATTGGGAGTTCAGGGCTAGCCTTAGCTATGTGAATTTGAAGCCAGCCTTGACTATATGAAACCTTTTCTCAAAAAGACAGGGAAGGGAGTCTTTTATAGATTCCATAACGATTCAGTTTGGCCTGGCTGCAGCAATTCTGAGCTGTAACTCAGCTCACTGCAGTATCCCTGGAACATCCCTGGTTAGGTTTCCCACAGAGTTTGCCAAGACACTACAAAGAAGTCAAGCAATAATGTATCTGATGCTTTACTTTTCACTAGGACAAAAACATCTGACAGGAAGCAGCTTAACCCAAGAAGAATGTATCTTAGCCTACAGGTTCATGATGGAGGAGATATGGCACTGGGCCCTAACCACAGCGATAAGGACTGTGGGTGTGGTCTATTACAGCCCCACTAATCAGGAAACCTAGCAGATTATAATCCTTTAGCCCACTCCTACAACCCCATGTCTGCCTAACAGGGCTCCTGTTCAAAGGTTTCACAACTTCCCAAAGCAGCACCACGTGCATGAACATGTATGAGCCTTCTGGAGACATTTCACATTCAAATCATAACAAGTCGTATGTGGAATTTAATGATTAGACCCTGGTGCAACTTACACCTCGTATACCTCATGTCCTTGATACTAACTTCAGGACCTCGCTTCTGTCAGTAAGTCCCTAGTGGCTTACAATGTCTACCCTGTTCTGCCTGCCTCATTCCCCATGCTTTCAGGACCTTAGATCCTTTCTTATACACTGGGACCTGGCTGTTCTAGAACATATAGTGTGTGTGCTTTCAATATGACTGAGTCTCTAAAAAGCATTGCTTTTTGATGGTCTGTCATGTGACCTGATGACCATCAGATGCATCTTCACCTGTGGGCACTGATTTTGTTCCTCTACCACTCTTCTCAAAGAATGCCAACCCTCATCGCAGGTCTGTACAGCCATACCATTGCCTC